ATGGAATTTAAAAAAAGCCATGCACATTTATTTATTTCTGCGTTATTCAAAATATGTTTCACAAAACTTATCCAATAGCTGCTTTGTTGCCTGCAGCTGCAGCGACCAGGGGAAAGTAACACCTGTCATGTGCAGCGTTCACTGGCAGGAGGATGTTTTCCTCATCTGTCACAGCAGTGTATTTGGCCTCAAAGGTCAGCCCACGCGAACACAAAGGCTAGGAGGGGCCTAAAGGATTATCACCTTTAGACCTCGACAGGGCTGAAGCCTCATTTATTAAATCGCAGCTCGTATTCTCTGCGGGCTGCTGTGCTGACAACAGATGCTGAACAAATCAGTGGAGCAGAGAGAGTCGGATGCGGATGCCAAGGTAAACATGTCGAGGTGGGGGGAAGAGGAGGCAAGTGAAAAACCCATCAAAAATACATCTGTTTCACAAAAACACTTTGCATTTACAGAGAACAGGACATTACCTGGTTAAAAATATTGTTAGTAAGGGATTCAGTTGGTCCTATTATTGACATATTAACAACTTAAGTGTATAGAAAATACCAGTGGAATATTATACACCCATCTGCCTGTTGATTCAACTTAATGATCCTTTTTTAGGATGCAGTTTATGCTGCTATTGAGTTGTACGGCATCATCATCCAGTGTCCTCGAGAGCAAGGAAGTGGTGCCACATTAAGGTGCCCCAGATTTCAGAAATGACAGCTGGGGACATTTCCAGTTTGGCTGTCATTATCTTAAAATATGTTATTATCTATGAAATAAAAAAGGAGGACATAGGTTTTATGTAACCATGGTAGCTGTTGTACTGTAATAAACTATGGTGCATGCCAAGTGATGATATCAGGTACTATCTAGATATACTATATTCTTTTTTTGCCTATTTATCTTTTTTTATTATATTCAAATTAAAATATTTTGAATATGTGTATGTAGCATGGAGAGGACTGTGACTACATCCAGGAACAGACTCAAACAGCCTGTTTAAACCTGGTATTATCATGCATCTCTGGTGATCTGATCACACATGGACAGTTAAACAACCACCAAGATGCATTTTGATCCGATCACTAAAACCACATTCAGAGGTGGTCAACAGTGTGATCAGATCACCCAAGACACATGATAATACCAGGTACAAACAGGCTCAAGATGACAACAAAGAGATGCAAAGTAAGGGTGCCCAGTAGTTCATCTGGTGGAGCAGGCCCCCATGTATAAGGGCTCTGTCCTTGCCGCAGCAGCCGGGGGTTCAAATCTGATCCACAGCCCTTTGCTTCATGTCGTCGCCTCTCTCCTTCTCACCCTTTCACGCTAATACTGTCCTATCGATTAAAGGCAAAAAGCCCTAAAAAATATAGTAACTACAAAAACGGGCAAAAAAGAAAAAAAAGATCTTAGTGGGACATGAAATAACCACATGCAAAATTAGAGGCAAAACCACCACAAAGTCTGTGTGTATTGCTCTTATGTAGCAGAGGTGGAGGGGCCTTTCGATATCCGAGCCCACGGACCCATTGTCTCATAATCTGCCCATGGACGTGTGGCATGAGAGCCTGTGAAAAGTGTCAATGGCATGATACATGGTCATTGGAGTACTCCAGGAATGAGGTTTTTCTGTGGGCCGATGCGCAAGTTAGCGTCGCCTTGGTTCCCTTGTCAAAAATCCAATAGGATTTTTCCATTGGATTTTGGATTATTGCAGATCTAAACTCTGTGGCAAACTAAAATTTATAATACAAACATGTTTTGTTCAGCGAGATAATCTTCACAAATGAACACCACTTTTATGATTCTTTTTTTTTTCATGGTCATCACCACAACGAGGCTGTAAATCTGTGTTTGGCTGGTGTCCTGTAGTCTCATTTTGCCACTTGTCATCAACCGTCTTTTTTAAGGCCCCTAAAAGCTTCAAAATTCACAAGTTGGGTATTTATGGACGTGTTTTATCTTGTAGAACAAAACGTAAAAGTCTATTAAGCAGACTTTATTTCAGGCACCTAACCAAAAACCCATTAAAAAACCCCATTTACTTTGAGACAACGAAACTGTGAGTGCCAAGTGGTAACTCATTTCCAGTTTTAACTGCAGCCCTGCAGTTAAAAACTGGAACATCTCCTGGAACAACTCCAGCCTGGGACAAGTCACCAAAATCAGCTTTGATGTCCTTTGCCTAGGTAGTGGATGACATTTAATTAATCATATCACATAAAACACAAAATGTTTACACTGAGTATAAAAGAATAAAAGATTAGGTCATTGGTGTACTGTTGAAAAGGACTTCCCGGACAGCCAAGATGCTCCATCTTCTCCTTTGTAATGTGAAGATGTTGTGGTTTCATGTCCAGCTTGTCCTCCCTGTGTAGTGTCTTCCCAGACGCTCCCTGGCTCGGAATCATCTCTGTTTAAAACCATTATCTGACTGGAGCTCGTCCATCTCTACCAGCACTAGGTCTGCTCAGTGAAGGAGTCTTCCGTGTTTGGCTAACAGAATAGGTCACCACTGGCCTTCCATCCAACGCTGTGTTTAAATATGAGACGTGTGTGACAGCTGTTATGAGTTCAGACGTACACACTGTTGTATATGTATATGTTTAGGTCAGTCGAGGCCCAAATACATGGAGCAAATACATCTTGGCATTTGTTTTAACCTCCTTAGAGTATGGCATGACAAAATGGGTGGCAGTTTTGAAAGCTTTTTGAAAGCAAAAACAAGAAAATCCTGTGCTTGTGTATGTAAAACCTATCTGGATGGACAGTCAGTAAGGTAACTTAGTGTGCTGCTAGTTGCTTTGTTAAAAAAAACCCTCACTAACACATTTTTATCTTATTAGTTTCATTCAAATACAAAGACAGACATAAAAACAAGTTACAGTGACTTAATGTAAAGTTAATTGGGTGCAACGACTAGCAGCCAAATTTACAGTAACTCATCATAACGTGTTTTTACATCCATGTTTGTATTTGAATTAAGATATGACATATTGATCAATGAATATTTTTAAACTTTGGATAAAAAGGCTAGCTGTTTCTCACTCCATAGCCTATACTGTGTCGCTCTGCAGTTACACCTCCAAAACACTAGTTGGCGGCAGAGGTTTCTGTGAAGGGGGTCATCCCTATGTTTCCAGGGTTCTACTGTATGTTTCCTGGGTTCTGTGTTGCCCACTTAACCCTGCAAAAAGGGTTCTATGTTTCGCGCTCGGTTGAGCGGGCAACATAAAACCCAGGAAACATAGAACCTTTTTTGTGTAAGCGGGGAACATAGAACCTTTTTTGCAGGGTTAAGTGGGGAACATAGAACCTGGTAAACATAGAACCCTGGAAACATAGATACACTCCCCTGTGAAGTGCTGTAAAGTTAAGTTGAACACACATTAAACATGGCTTAATAGCAACAGTTTCAAACACAAGTAAACAAATTGGCTTCACTATAACTCGCAGCATTCACAGACAAAGTACTTGTCTTTATCTGGACACATTTTCCCCACATATACAACATGCTAACGTTATTAGCACAAGCCTATGGCATTTTACATTGTATAAATTAGCCTAGCAACTAGCGGACATTTCCTCTACTCATATGAAGCCAGGGACAACAGCAACATTTAGCAAAGGTAACGTTACAAATTTCGGTTCCATTGCAACTCACAAGGTTCACTGACAAAACAACTGTCTATACTAAACACATTTTCCATGCAAATACAGCATGCTAATGTTGTTAGCATTAGCCTATGGCATTTTACATTGTATAAATTAGCCTAGCGACTAGCTGCAATTTCCTCTACCCATATGAAGCCAGGATAAATCACATGCAAGACTTAAAGTTATATTTTGTGGAGGCTTTATTGTGTTCACAATTTATTATTATTATTATTATTATTATTGTTATTATTATTATTATTTTTATCTGTAAAAAATGTGAGCCTTAAATGAGCCATATGGTAACATTAAAAATAAGTCTAAATTAGCATTCAAAAATATGTTATGCCACAAGATGGCGCCTCTGCAGTGGGCTATTTTAAAGTATTTGGTACTTAGACATTGCAGCATTGGCGGTGAAAGCAAACAAATCTGAGCATGCACTATTATACATTAATATTTGTATTTATTTATTTCCTCATTTATTAATACATGAATTTTACTCATGTACCATGCCCATTTATTTATTTATTTACCCAGCCAATTTTGGGCACAGATACTACTTCACTAGTGCTGATTTTTTTTTTTAAAGGAATAAATAAAATAAAATAAAATAAAATAAAATGAAATAAAAATTAAATAACCAGATCCAGATTTGGATCCCCTACATCCTCAAAATTATAGACCTATCCAAGAATTAATTGTGTTGACACTTCAAAATATTCAGATAACAGTATTATTTTTCACCTGAGACTATAAAAAACTGAAAATTATGTTCTAAAAATTATTTGTGTATTTGAGAGACATTTATATTGTTTATTTTTCAAACTAAGATCATTTTTATTCACTTGTAAATGTATACCAAGAAAAAAAGATAAGATACACTTTATATGCTCATACCCTGATTCTCTAACTGAGCTTTTAGTTGAAGACCATAAATATGTATGATACATGTTATAGAAATGTCTGGGGGCCATCATGGAGGGTGTGAAACCAGACCACATGCCAGACCAACTCATGTTACCCAGGAATGTTCTTATCATGTTCTTATGCTAACAGCTTTCCATCCTCCATCCATCCACAGATGTACACTGCATTTGTGGTGAAGGGAAGTGAGTGCAAAGAAGAAGAAGAGCATAGAAAAAACAAATGAGTTGGTAGGTGAAGGGTTAGTGGACACAGCTTGCCTCATCCTCAGTGTGATCAGCGACCCCCCCAGCTCAGGAAATGACAGATAACTGCTGCCACCTCCTCCTCCTCCTTCAGTGTGCACTTCCCCTTTAAAGTATCTGAGAGGAACAGCCTTACACTGCTCGCTCTGTCTCTCTTGTAGTTTGTGGTGAGGCTGCTGTGGCTGAAAGGATCTTAAAGGATAAAGAAGAAACTCCTGTTGTTTATGGCTGAGGCTGCACCTCCTGTTCATGGATGTGAAATGCAGGGGAACAGGCCTGAAGTTATCAGGAGAGTGATAAGAAGCTGTGTTTTATTTGCATTTCCTTCGCCAAAGGATACATGACCAGGCTGTTCATCCTGAAAAGGTAAAACACTTAGTTTTGTTGCTTTATGTCTAAAAAAGTTCATATTTTGCATCATATTTTGTTTGTCCTCCTTTAATGATAATAAAACTCTGGAAAATGGTTTTAAATCACATTTCAGGGGGGAAAAACATAAATTTACAGATAAATCCAACATAACCAGGCAGAAAACACAAACAAAATAGCATTAAAGACATTGTTGAAAAGAAAAACTATTTGCTAAATTGTAACAGGACTCTGATACCTTAAAATTTCCTTCATTGAACTTGCTTGTAAATCATACATAATATATGTGGGCAATGGAAATACTGGCATTCTGCAATATTTATTTTTAACATCATAGTATATAGTGTTCACCTTTCCACAGTTGCAGGTAATACTAGATAACTAGAAATAATAAAGTGTAATCACAAAGCATATAGACATAAAACTGTGTCATATATATGTGTGTGGTTTAAGTGTGTTGTGTGAATTTGCCCTGACCATAAATTGGTTCATAAAGACAGACTTGTAAAATGATCTCCAGGAAATGTTATGGTCTAAAATATAATAGGTACAAAGTGGGATGTAACTCCAGAGTCTCAGCTGATGAATTATTGAATGACAGCAGCAGCCTCACGTCCACTAACACATGCTCTTATCTCAGCTGTTAGCTAACAAAGACTGGATGACGAGAGACTTGCTGTTGAGGTCGAGAAATATCCCGAGCTAAACGACCACGGTTCTGTCATTATAAAGACAACGGCCAAAAAGATATTGCCTTTAATAAGGGACTCTCCACTCTGTGATCTTAAGCTAACACAGAGGTACAGATGTTTCAGTAAAAGCAGGAGTATTTTTGTGCGGTTGTCTGTTAACGAGCTGCAGTGCGACATATCCAGTGTATGCTAGGGACAGCGCTTAACGCGTGACACATGATGCACCGTACCATTTTTTTGCTTTAGAGGCGGTTTAATTGGTGCACTTATTGTTTTTTAACTACCTCAAAAGCTGACAACCCAATGCATCCATTGGCACCAACCATGTGGGCTTAGCTTGTCAGAAAAGGGATTAAATAATCCTCCAAAGTTAGGCTAAATGTTAGCAACTGAACAACTGGCATGGCCATTTTCAAAAGGATACCTTGAACTCTCACCTCAAGATATTTGAATGAAAATGGGTTGTATGGGTACCCATGAGTCTCCCCTAAACTTGAAGTCACCTGTTGCCAGTAAATATTTCGTTCCTTATAATCAATGTACTCTGTCCAGGGTGTACCCCGCCTCTCGCCCAACATCACTTGGGATAGGTGAACTACTGACATAGTTTTCAACGAGCCTGTTTACTTCAACAGTGTATTCAAATTCCTGATATTCAGTTACGGCTTTTGGTTTTGATGTGTCACCCCAGGAGTTTAAGTGATGCTTCACAATGCGTGATCTTTGCAGAATGTCAAGCTCTGAAGTTGTAGCATTTATTCAGTTAAACTGACTTTAAAGAGGTTCCCATAACTATATCTTCTTGAATATCTGGAGTATAGCTCACAGTTCAGCGTTTTCCTCTCTCGCTGGTTTGATTCTACAATCCATCTCTGATAATCCACTCTGCTCCACAGCCTGCTACCTTTTCTATTAAATCTCATTTTTCATCTTCAGTAAATTGCATTTCCTCTGCAAGTTCCTTCGAGTCTGTTAAAGTTTTTGGAGCAACAACAACAAACTACATTTTCACAAAAAAGATTAGCAAGAACTTTCAATTTACTTGATGTGATACATGAAACCAAACCACACAACGGTTTGATCTTAAGGCTAATTTTTCCTTACTTTTATGTACCTAGATAGACAGGGTCATTTTAAACATTGTAACCATCGCTGCCCTCATACTTCCATGCGTCCTTTATGTTGGCATAGATACACCCACTAGATGACACAAGAGGACAGAGTGGATGGACAGTTCTTTCCATTGTATTACCAGTAGGGTCATGTCTTGCTTTACCTACGCTACACTGCCGCCACAACTTTCGGTTGTACTGCTCCATTTCCTCTATAAGATTTCAGAAAACGTGCACAAATATGGACGAAATAAATGCAAGGTTTCATTAGTGTTTGTATACATGTCTAAGGTTGAGCATAAATGAGCCCTTACCAACTAGCTTTTGTGGCCTCGGCAGCTACTTTAACAATGTTTCTCTTTCCCCGCAGCTGTACCTTGATGGGAGTGGGGCCAAGCTGCAAAGGGGAGGAAGTCGGCAGATTTCACACATGATGGACTGCAACGACTCCCATGCTCTGCTCTCTGGGGAGCACCTCATCTATGCCATCACCATACCGCTGTCAACTTCCATCATCCTGGCCAACCTTGTCATCATCTTAGGCATCGCCTGGAACCGCCAGCTCCACAACACGACCAACTACTTCTTCCTCAGCCTGTTAGTGGCAGATCTGTGCACAGGCGTGGCGCTGCCTTTTATCCCTTTAATGGGCCTGAACCGGGAGTTGAGTTTTAGCTCCTGCTTGGTGGCTCACGTGTTCCCAAACTTCCTCTTCCTGGCATTCCTCTTCAACCTGGTAATGGTCCACTATGAGCGCTACATTTGCATCGTTGACCCCCTGCATTACAATAACCTGTGGATGCATCGCAGCTTTCCTCTGGCACTGCTTGTGGTTTGGGCGCCACCACTTCTGTACGCATCTCTTCCTGCTTTTGGGTGGAATAACTGGACAGGGCCAGATTGGAACGGCTGTTGTGCAAGTAGCCAAAATATAACGTCACTTTCAAACTGTTTCACAAACAAAACCACATGCTGCTCGTACAGGCGAGTATTCCCCAATGCTTTTATCTACTTGGAGGTGTATGGACTCGTCTTACCTGCTATTCTTACCATCGCTGGCATGACTGGCCATGTTTTATGGATCACCCGAGGCCAGCTGAAGGACATTTGTCGCCTCCATCGCTCAGTGGAGCGGGGAAGCCAGGCCTCGGACCGAGAGCAGAGGCTGAACCTGCGGTACACTCGATGCGTGGTGGCAGTGTCGTTTACATTTCTCGCTTGCTGGGTACCCTATCTCATTTACATGCACGTCTGCATGGCGTTCTTGATGACGGACACCAAGTGGAGCTCCACCACTCATATTATACTGTCGTGCACTGGTATTGGAAGCATGGCAGTGGTGCCGCTGGTGCTCGGACTAGCCAACAGGCAGTATACAGAACCTGCATACAAACTGCTCCAGAAACTAAGAGACAGATGGAGCCGAAGGACGCAGGGATCAGAGGAGGTGGCAGTCTGAGAAAATACTGACAAATAGGAATATTTATGAAGATGAATCTGCAAGAAATGATGGTGGTTGATACCCGCGGTAATCTATATTATGAAAGATTATAAGGGCCAGGCATAAGGGGAAGAAAAGGGGGAGGAAGATTTTTTTTTATTTTGCATGAGGAAAATGGTCAAAATGTCAAGAACAAAGTCCAAATGTTGAGAATAAAGTTAAATCTCCAGTATTAGTGCCAGGTAAAACACAAATAGATCAGGGGAGGAAGTATTTTTTCTTTTTTCTTTTTTTTTTGCATTTCGAGAAAAGTTGAAATCTTGAGAAGAAACCCAGCTGGTACCGGATTCTGATATGACATCAGAAAATCAGGTTGAAGATATTTTAAATGTCTAATGATGTTAGAATTTCACGTTGTGTGCACATTAACATTATGACGTTTTGCTAACTTTGTTTCTCCTGATCAAACACAGTGCTCTCTTCAAAGTTCTAATATTTATTAGCACACTGTGTTCATGCGCTGAAGGAAAAATAATATCCTTCTTTTTAAAGCCAATTCTGAAGTTCAGCAAATCATCTACACAAGGCATTTCATGGAGGCAGTCATATGCACTAACAGTTGTGGTCGATTTATTCTCAAAAGTTCGACTTTAATCTTGAAATGTAAAGTTAATAGTCATTTTGACGGTTCTCAAAATGGTACTTTTACTTTATTCTAAATATGACAACTTTATTCTCAGTATTTTGACTTTCATCCCAATGCAAAACAAAAAATACCTTCCTCCTCTCCTCCTCTTTCCCTTAGCCCTAATAATCATCCGTAGTCCACTAGTCAAGGCCTGCAGGAGGAAATTATTTATCAATGATCTGAACACAAAAAGCCACTTTCTGTTTTACCACCACTACACTGGGTTATGAAATATGATTTCTGTCTTTGGCTCCCCATTTCTGATGGTTTTCCATTATACTTTCAGAGTTGTGTCAGGAGATGTAACTGAAAAGATGAAGAAAAGGTAGTTCATGTTTTCAGGACAACATTTATCATTGTTTCAAAGACGACTATAACACCATTTGAGCAACATGCTCATGCTGCCAATGTGCTAGTGTTTAGCAGGTATAATAATGCCTGAAATGTAAATTCTCAGTATGATAACATGATGAAGTTAGGTTAAATAAAACTACCCTTGTGTCAGTGTTGTACATCTTAAAAATTAAGCTCAAAGACATCATAATTTCTCTTTGTGCTGCCTGCTCTGGTTAACCAGTGCTAAGACTTTCTCCATTTGTCACCCACCTGCCTGCAATGTTTACTTCTACTTCCCTCACTAGTGTTTATCTAAATACTGGTATGCAGGCTGAAGAGGGGAGAGGGATGCATTCACAGTCCCTAATTCATCTACAAGACATGAGGAAATAGAGCTTCAGGAAGGACATGCAGGAAAGAAACATGAGGTGAAAACCGTGTGTGCAAGTTGGAAATGAGTTAGCTGCCATATTTAGATAAACTGTTACAGGAAGGTTAAATACTGTAAAATAAGACTTCAGAGATACCTGTATTTAATAAAGACTAAAGGTTTTGTCGTAAAGATCCACCCAAGGGAAATTGGATTTTTATTTGAGACTTGATCAAACACAGACTGTGTGTCATGCTATTTGTGTCCCCAGTCAAAGTGTGGTTTTAAAGGTACACAGACAGTATGTGGGCGGAAAAGCTGAAGAGGAAAAGCAGACTTTAATCAAATTAAAGAGCAAACAATGTCTGAACTGTTATGGGACATTAGGAGGGATGGGATTTCATCATGGGGTCAAGGTACATCGTTTGTATGTCTTTTGTAGGTGTTGCTTTGCTAAGCCATGTTCCAGTATGTTTTCCACATTGGTTTGTACGTATATGTCCGGAAAACCGAAGAGGGAAAAATGAAGACAGGACGAGACTGTTGGGCTCCGGCTCCTAATGACTGCCTGCCGTCTGTGTCGGGTGGAAAGAAAAACATTTGTCCGAATTGTGTCTGGATTCTAAAAGGAATAGCTTAACATTTTGAGAAGAAGCACATTTGCTTTATTTATGATGGTGAAATGAGAAGACTGATACCACTCTCATGTCTCTATATTCGCTTTGCTTGGCTCTGCTCATATGTAACAAAATCTGCCAACCAGCACCTCCAGAGCTTATTAATTAACAGGTTGTTTAATTCTTAAAAAAAAAGTGTAAAAATGTCAGTTTGCCTTTTTATAAGAAATACCGTGTCAACAGGGTCAGCATATCCTCATACAATAGTCTGAATGATATCCTACGAAAATGCACACACAGCAGTTTGTATGATATCCTACAAAATAGCCCCCCCACAAATGACATTATATCCTTAATGTAAAGTTACATACTTAACGTGAAGTTATGGAGGTTAGGTTTAGGCAAGTAAAGCTACTGAGGTTAGATGTTCACATGATCTAAACACCAGTCTCCAGGGGTAAGTCCTGTGTTTTGTGACGCATCCACCACCCCTACCTGCCTCCTAAACACCTCAGACCTCTTCCTTCTTTACGTCTGTCAACATCATGTGATCGCAGCCTTCCCAAATTCATGGATTATGCACAAATTACTAGCTTATTGTTATGTTGCATATGTGCAAATTTTGGTGCATTACTTTTGTGGGAAAACATACGAACAGTGCATGACAACAGCTTGATTAGAAACCTCTGGACAGAGTGAGCTAGCTGTTTCGCCTTTTGACTTGACTTTGACTTCATGACTTGAGCCTTGACTTAGACTTGAGACAGATGACTCGAAAGGACTTTTTTTACTTAAATATTTGTATTTTTCAAGATAAACATGCCATGACCTGTCAGGCCACCTAAATCCATGTTTGTTTGTCATCCCTGTATTTCCTGTTTTATTTTGGTAGCCATTGTCTTGTCTCCTTTGTCATCAGGCTAATGCACAAGGTATTATGGAAGTGGCTAGTCCAAAAAATGATAAAAGTTGGGTTCAAGAATAACGTTATTGGTGACTGTAGTAAGAAGAGAACAGGGGTATGCAAAAATCTGCAGCCCAAAAATTAGACATGACCATCATGACATTTAATTTCATTTGTTGTTACAAAAACAACAACAACAACAAAAAAAGTGTGAGAATCTGTCTTTTTAGTTTACTTATTAGCTCACTGGCCGGTCAAACGTCACCTAAAAGCTAACATTTGACCATATCATCAGAATTTCAAGTGACTTAACTTGTCTTGACTGACTTAAAAAGACTCTACTTGCTTGATTCACACCAAAGTAACTTGAGACCTGCTTGTGGCTTGCAAATGTGTGACTTACTCCCACCTCTACTTTACAGGTTTTAGGCTAAGCTAAGCTAACCATGTCCTCGCTCCAGCTACATATTTACAACATATCGACACAACCACCGATACGATAGATATGATGGTGGCATCAGTCTTTTTACCTAACTATTGGCAAAATAGACAATAAGCATATCCCAAAAATCTCTTTAAGTAACTATTTGTGTGTTTGCGTGAAAGAAATAGAGCAGACATTTTTCACGACGCTTTATTTATTAATTCCATTGCAAACACTTGTCACTTCAACAGTAAAGTCTGTCGTGCCTTCTGATTTCCTTTATTTTGATATTTGAGGCACATGGTTGCAGATACATGTGAAGGAAGGAGAACAATTCCAAAGTAGTTTGAAAACCTACAGTATTTCGAGCGTGCAGTTTTGTCCCAGATCCATGTTTGCTTCCTCTTAATGTGACCTGATTGTAGGAAACATTATCTTCGTTAACATCCTTCCTAATATTAACAAGATGTGGCCCAACAGAACAGAAACACTCCTTTAACCACCTACACAATGCTACAAATTCCTTATTTTATTTTTCACATCCTTAAGAAACCTTTACACCGTTACAGACCCCGCCACAAAAAGTATGAAAGAAACAACTGCACGAAAGCTGCAAAAATACACCGATTGTACCAGGAACACACGTCTTTGCAATTGCAAACAAAGATAAGATGCTTGTCATGAACAAAATGTCTCCAACTTCAAGCACAGATTCTAGGAAAAACGTTCAGCCTGCCAAGAAGCTATTGTTAGACTGTACCAGAGAGCACATAAAAAGAAGCATGATGATTATTACATTTAAAAACACTTTTCTCTAAGAGTTAAATTTCACTTAATTTGAGCTTTGTAAATTCACATTTCGCGGATATACTGTAATGCTGCAGGCGGAGGGGTGATGGAGAGTGCCGGTCAGCCTTCAGTGTAATGGGAGCTTTCGGACACAACTCTGCCTTCCTCCACCTCCACCCGGATCAGCAGGCGCTTCTTGGAGGCGGGGTAAGCTGCCGGGAACATGGTGGGTTCTGGTCCTCGTGGCTTCTCTGGCAGGTGTTGCTTCGATGGCAGGTGAACGTCTGCGTGCAAGTAAGGACTTGGATTGGTTGGTTTGTTTTTAGATATCTGAGCGAAAGAGAGGTTTGATTTTAGTGGGACACAAATAATGAGAATGCTGAAATGTGTGAAATGGATGCAGAGTTTGTTTTTGTTACTGTGTCCATTTTAAAGCATATTTCATATATTATAATTATATTAAATTTAATACTTGTGGTCCCCTTAACCTTCTTTGTTTACCGCAGTTAGTAATTTCCTTCATTTCCCAGAATTCCTTACAGCAACATCTTGACAGGGAAGATTTAAGCCAGGTGGTACAAGTCCAAAGTGGGCAAGCTGCTACTTTATGTACATTTGCTGCATTGCATTCTGGTATATTGAGGGCTTTATTGGTGTACAGACATTAGTGTATTAGTCAGTGTGAACCTAGCACATTTGGTGCCCTAGACAAATGTCTTCCCCCCAAATATTATCATTTATATTTATTGTATTTATTACACAGTAGATATCATTTGTTCTTTCAACATCAGGTCATATTGTTAATGTGCTAAATGACAAACTAGCATCTTAAAACCATCCTGTCGGTCTTCTTTTGAATGACAAATCCGTCTGCTGCAATGGAGAGTTATTTCTTCTCATGCAGGCATGGAACTTAGATGCTAACTGGACGTTTGTGATTTCTGCAAGTGCAACTTTTTGGCCGAGACACAGGCAATGCAACAGTCAGCCTTCGTCACCACTTGTTTTGTCTGTATGATGTGTCTGGGCCTTAAGTCAACATCAGGCTTGATCTTAACATTGCTTTAACATTGTAAAAAAAATTGTGCACCAGCAAGTTGCTAGAAATCTTTGAAATTAACAGAAATTACAACTCAAGTGTAAAGCTTTTAAAAGCAGCACACGTGTAATTAGGTGTATAGAACTGAACTGAATTGATTGGCCTCACTGTCACGACCCAATCCTGCTATTTGAGTCAGTATTGGCCTGATATGTGATATCAGTATTAGATCAGTGCATCATGTTTGTCTAGAATCCATGTAAAAAAGTAAAAATCACCACAAAGCAACCAAATGAACCCAGAAAGACCATTTTAGTAGATTTTTTAGGGTTTTGGAGCTGCTGATTTCAGAAATTTGAGAGAAAGTGTCAGAACGGTTCTCACCTGCATTGCGCATGAGGTAGTTCATTCTTCACAGAGATGGAGAAATAGAGACAGTTGTTAGTGCAAG